TCCACGTCCCCGTCGCCCCGCGTGTGCGGAGCCCGGAACTGCCGAGACCGGCCCCGCCCCGCCCTCCGCAAGGCCCCGCCCCCTACCGGGAACACGCCTCCAGCAAGCCACGCCCCGACACGTCGCGTTTCCCAAGCAAGCCCCGCCCATCACGTCAGAGAAGCCACACCCCTCGCGGTGACTCGTGCGTCGCCTAGTGGGACACGGGAGCAGAGAGAGATGGGGTCACGGGCACACGGGGACATAGAGAGATGGGGAGACGGGGATGTGGGGACATGGTGACATGGGGAGGTGGGAACATGGGGAGCACTGAGGCCTCTGTCTTTGCCAGGAGGACATGAGGAGCGCTGGGGCATGGGGACCCTGAGAGAGCTGTGGCCCAATTGAGGTTCATGGGGACACACAGGGCAGTGGTGCCAGGATGTGATGACACATGGGGTGGTGGGGCACTGGTGCTGGGGCACAGAGAGATGGGAGACTCTGGGACACTGGTCCTGGGATATGAGGACTTGTGAGGCACTGGGTCCCACATCACATAGAGAGTGCACAATGACCCTTGACAGCTTGACAGGACCCTCCTGTGGAGACATGGGTGCAGTGCTGAGCAGTGGCATTTGGTGTGGGGCACCTGGAACCACAAGGGCTCCCCAACCAGCCCTCACCCTGTCTGTCCTCCAGCTGCTCTGTCCCTCTGTCTTCCTCCCTTCTCCCTGCCATCCCTTTCAGCCCTTATTTCTCTTCCTGTCCTGCTTTTTCTCTGTCTGTGGTTTCTGCAGAGCTCATAGCTCTCCTTGCTGTTCCTTTTGTCCCCTTCTTGCTCTCTCCCTGACATTTTTGGGGTCACTCACACACATCCTGGTTCTCCTGACGTGTGTTGGTGCACAGGGGCTGTGTCGCTGTAGTTGTGTCACTGGGTCTGTTATTCCCCTTCATGGGAGCTGGGAAAATGCCATTTGGGTGGCAGGAAGGGGACACTGGAGTGGGACAACACAGGGTGGCCTCATCTCACAAGATGATATTGACTTCTCAGCCCCACCAAGGTGGTGGATCCCTGGGGATGTCTGGTCCTGGCAGGGTTGGGCAGGGTGCTCTGTGCCCCCCAGGGTGCTCCAGTGGGGCAGGGACACACGTCACCTTGCTGGCAGCTGACCACCTCCTTCCTGCCCTGGACTTGGACATGTACAGCTCTGCTTGTCTGCTGCGGTTCAAAACTGTCTTTCGACGGCTGCCTTATGTCTGCTTCCTCCTCCTCCTTGCAGTCATACCATTGCGTGCGGGTGGCTGGAAATAACCCCGACCTCCGTGACATCCCCTGGGTGCTTGACGGCGGCGGCAGCAGCAGCTGGTGGTCATCTCATGCTCCCCGCCTCCTGTCTGGCCTCTCAGACCACAGGGACGCGAGCACGACGTGGAGGAGAAAGAGGAAGGGTGCCTGCGGAGAGGGGGCTCGTGCCTGTCCTGCTGTGGTGACGCACAGTGGGGCCAGCCCCGACTGTGACATTTGTGCAGACACAGCTTGTGCAAAGACCACTTCGCAGAGACGTCCCAGATGGTGCCTTCACTCAGCTCCGCTACTGCCTGCGTCACCCTCCTGCTCAGCTGCGCAGGGCTTGGCTCGGCCACCCAATTCCCCCCAAGTAAGTGCCTTGGTAGGTCTGGGTGGGTCATGGGGCAGGGAGACCTTACTGGGACACCCTGACATCGCATCCTGTGACACTTGGAGGGGACAGCTGGATGTCATGGTGAAATCTCAGGGCATAGCTCTGTTACCATCCTTGGGTGTCCATGTTAAAAACCTAAGTGAAGACCTGAAACCCTGCCACCCCTTCCCCTTTCGGCAGCAAAAAACAGGTTACTGCTCTCATAACCAGAATTTCTCCTGCCCCCTGGATATGGAGAGGTGGAAGGGGTTGCAGGAAAACTGCTGGATGTAACCAGCTCACCCCAGGGCTGGGTGTCCTGGGGATAACCAAGATGGAGCTTTCATAAGCGGGAGTGACATGGAGGGGAGCAGAGCCCGGCTGTGTTTTTTAAGCTAACCAGAAAAGGGATTTGATAGGGAGTTGTTTGTCTGGCGCCCCGGGACCTTCCTGTTCTTCGTTTTTGTTCTGAGCACGCAGAGAAAAGCTGCCAACCACAGGAAGACGGGGAGGTGTGTACAGCCCTGGCCGCAGCGGGGGGCCGATTCGGGGGCTGTCTGAAAGGAGAAGGAGGAGGCAGGGCCCAGGTGGGAGAACATCTTCCATCCTGGTGTGAGTGGCCACATCCTGACCCTGTCCTGGTGTGGGCTTCTTCTCTGCTTTTTATAGCCCGTTGTGTTGCAGTGGACCTGTAGTGCTGGGCTCAGTAGGAAAAGGGATGTTGGCAAAGCTGGGTATCCTTGCAGGGGTGGGCTGGAGCAGACCCTGTCTGGGCTGAGGGCAGAGCACCCCATTGGGCTAGCACTGCTGTGCTGGTATCACCATGGTGGCACCACTGGGCAAGGGGTGTGGATGGCACAGGATGTGGCATGGCTCTGCACAGTGAGGGCAGTGCGATGTTAAGGGCTCCTGTGCCCAAGCTGTGCCCTGCTATGGGATAGAAAGACGCCAGCTCCTGCGTTTGCTGGTGGCTCTGCAGAGAGTGGTGACAACTCCTGTGCGGTCCCAAGTGGGAAGGGGCAGTGGGAGGGAGCTTTTGGCTGAGCCTGACACCTTGTGTCCTTCACAGTGCGTTACAAAGGGCGAGTCTTGATCCCCCTCACTCCCCAAGAAGAAGCCATGTGCCCCGGTGCCTCTCCAGAAGCTTTACTCAACAGCACCCTCACGACCCACCTCCTTCCTGCCCTCTACTCTGTGGTGCTGCTCGTAGGGCTGCCGGCCAATGCTCTGGCGTTCTGGGTCCTGGTGACCAACTTCAGGAGATGTTCCAGCAGCCTCTTCCTGCTCAATCTGGCCAGTGCTGATCTGCTCTTCGTGCTCCTGCTGCCCTTCAGGATCTCCTACCACCTCTTGGGCAATAACTGGCTCTTTGGGGACTACCTGTGCCGCACCATGGTGGCCTTCTTCTACGGGAACATGTACAGCTCCATCTTCTTCCTTACCTGCATTGGCTTGGAGCGCTACATCTCTGTAGTGCACCCATTCCTGTGGAAGGGCTCCAGTTGGATGTGGGGCAAGGCAGCCATCTGTGTGGGTATCTGGCTGCTGGTGGGGCTGGGCATGAGCCCTCTGCTGTTGCACACCCAGACAATGCACATCTCAAGCCTGAACATCACAACATGCCATGATGTCCTAGGAAAGAATGATCATGTGTTCTTCGCCTACTATTTCCTCTACCTGATGGGGCTGGGCTTTGGCTTGCCCTTTGTGCTCATTACTATCTCCTACAGCTGCATCCTGGCACGGCTGATGGCCAAGGGGAGACACTATAGGCAGGTAGTGTGTGTCCTGGCTCTGGTCCTCCTGGTCTTCATCCTCTGCTTCACCCCCAGCAATGTGTTGCTCTTCATTCACTACATAGTGGAGGTCACAGGGTGCCACAACTCCATCTACATCTGGTACATCCTGGCCCTGCCAATTGGTGCCTTCAACAACTGCTTTGATCCCTTTGTCTACTTCTACATGTCCAAGGATTTTCGGGCCTGGGTCCGGGAAGCAGGCAGCTGCTGCCTGGGAGGGCTCAAAACCTCATCAGGGAGGGCCTTAGAGAAGGCAGCCATGCCATTGAGGCCCAGCGAGCAGAGCCAGCTGGAGGCAGGGCTAGGGGATGCTAGGCTGTAACAGCATGGTCAGGGTTGGAAAGGACCTCTGTAGATCACCCAGTCCAACATCTCTGCTAGAGCAGGATCACCCAGAGAAGATCACCCAAGAACATGTCCAGGCGGGTTTTGAGTGTCTTCAGAGAAGGAGACTCCACAACATCTCTGGGCAGCCTGGTCCAGGGCTTTGTCACCCTCACAGTAAAGTTTTTCCTTATGTTTAGCTTGACCTTTCTGTGTTCCAGTTTGTGACCATTGCCTCTTGTCCTGTTGCTGGGTATAACCAAGAAGGGTCTGGTCCCACCCTCCTGACTCCCATCCTTTAGATATTTACAAGAATTAGTGAGATCCCTGCTCAGTCTCCTCTTCTCCAGGCTGAACAGCCCCAGCTCTCTCAGCCTTTTGTACTATGGTAGATGCTCCAGTTCCCTCATCATTTCAGTGGCTCTAAGCCTGGCGCCCAGCACCAAAGGCTTTGCTGTCCCAGGCTGGCAGCAGACATGGACAGAAACTCCCACCCTGGACCTGAGGTTTGCTGGGAGTTTGCCCCTATTCTGCAGTTCCTCCAATGCCACTGGTGCTCCACCCATCCCATGGGTCCCCCAGCTGGTCCCCCAGCTGCTTGCCTGGTCCCTACACCCCTGTTTCCTTGTCTGCCTGACCCCAACATCACTCACCACTTCTTCTATGGAGACCAAACTCTCCAGAGTACAAATAAATCTTTATTTCTCCTTGTTGGTGGAAGCAACAGGTATAAATACCCCAGCTAAGCAGGAGCTGTCCTCCATCGCACTGACTACACGCCGGGCACACACGGGCAGCCCTGCTCCTGTTGCTCCCCCACAAAAAATACCATGGTAGAGATGAGAAGGGAAGCAGGGGATGGCTTGGGTGTCCTGAGCGTGCCCCACGAGCCCAGCACTCGAGAGGACATTGTACTGTGTTCTCCTGTGCTGGCAGACACAACATGCCCCCCGGCCTGACAGCGTGCCACACTGCTGAAACATGCAGGCACCATGTTTCTGCTTTTATTTTCCCTTTTACTTGCTTCCCTCAGTGCTGGACCCGACAGCAGGTGTGCCACTCATGAGCAGAAGCACATGTGGCAGCATCCCCAGGCCTCCCAAGAGAGGATACCATGGCTCAGCGTCCTTGTCCCCACCACTCCTCATTCCCAGCCCAGCTTGGGGATCAAGAGGAGGAGGAGGGCACAGGCTCCATGGTATGGAAGCGTGGAGTACCCATTGTTGCTGCTGCCGAGCACGACTTGACCCCCATGTCAGTGGCTGCCCCTTCGGCACAGCGAGTCACGTCACTGGTTGGCCTGGCCCTGGTGGCTGGCCCTCATTCTTCCTGAGGATGACGCTGCTGAGCTCCTGGATGAGTTTGTCGTTGATGGGTGAGGAAGGCTGCATGCTCCTTTTCCTGGGGATCTCCAGGGAGGTCTCTGAGCTGGGACTGCTCCCTGGTGTGGCTGTCTGGTCCCAGTCCCTGGCCAGTGCCAGTGAAGGCTCCACGTTCCTCTCCAGAGAAGCCGTTTTGGTGGGTCTGAGCCCCTGGGCTGGAGCTTTGTCGCTCTCCAGGTTCAAGCCCCTTTCGAGGGACAGGGCTTTGGTGACAGAGGGACCTGACATCCTCTGAGCCGAACTGGCAGGCAGCGAGGAGCGCAGTGCTGTGGCTGGGGGCTGCTCAGGGAATGCAGATGGCTTCTTGGACCTGTCCACGGTGGGCACGGCCGAAAGGTCTGCCAGCAGTCCTGGTCCCAGCTCCAGCGCAGCCAGCTCAGGGAAGTTGCCCACTTCCTCGTAGACAGGATCAGTGTCAACCTCCTTCTCCTGCTGCTCCTCCAATGAGTCCTGGTGCATCTTCATGGGCTGAGGAAGGACAGGGTGTCAGGGTGAGGTGTACTGCCTGCACTGCTCAGCCATACCCCTCCATCTCTCCTCTCTTTGCCCTTCCTGCACTTGGGTGCTGCCTGGAGAGCCTTGCTCCGTAGCCAAGGGGCTGATGCCCACAGAGGATCCACCCTCCATCAACTTTCTTCACTCGGGCATTGCTGATGGAGGGTGAGTGCTTTGGTCCCTGCTGAGGCACGGTCCATGCTACCAGGCTGTAGCACCAACCTAGCATCCCTTGGCAGAGGTGGTCTGGGCTGGGGAGGGCAGATGGGTGCCCATGCAGAGCACAAAGCTAGACATGGTGAGGTCCAGCCAGGTGGTTCTTGTGGAAATAACCTCATGGTGAGGAGGAACCAAACCTACTTCCTCACATTTCTTACGTTGATCCCCTCTGGGCAATGCACACCCAATGCAAGAGGCTCTGGGAGCTGGGCTGGACTGTCATGGTCTTGCTTGCACACACTGGGACTGTGCAGGGACCACTGTCTCCGGGTATGGGACATATGGAGCAATGGGCACCCCCTTCTCTGGAGACATAGTGCAAAGCCAGCAAGACATGCTCCACGCGTGCAGGTACTTACAAAGAACATGGACAAAGTCCTTCGCGTGTGGAGGCGACGCTAGAAACAGAGGAGACGGGCAGAGGTAAGCACATGATAGCACAAAACATGGTCACAGATGCCCCGACAGGCAGAGGACGGGCAGTGGGGAGAACTGCCATGGACATGAGAGTACAGCACACAGCACATACATGTCGCCAAGCACAAGGAAACACACCCAAAGCATCTGTCAGCATGCACCCATCTTCAGGGCTCTGGTGTGGACACATGACCTTGGGATGGGTGCAGGGGCACCCTTAAGTAGGGGTAGCTATGGGCCCTTTACCAGAGTCTGGTTGGCAGAGAGCATGGTGGCGTCGGTGCTGTCCCCATGCAGGGGCACCAGAGGCATGGTGCCAAACTTCTGCTTGGCAAGGTCGGAGGAGGAGCGCCGGCGCATGATCACAGGGTGCAGGTCATCATGCTGTGCACAGAGATAAAGTAGGGAGTGTGGATCATGCCAGGCTGTCCTGCCAGCCCTCTCCCATCCCAGCCCAGGCCAGCCCAACTGGGTTGCACAGCCAACCTGCACCAACCTGAGCCTTGAGGATGCTGGTGGTCCAGTCCCACAGCTCAGCCTGTCCCGAGCACACCAGGTACCTGCAGAGAAGTCAGCTGAGAAGCCACTAGAGAGCAAGGCCAGCAGTGTGCAGGCCACCTTGTCACCTTGCCCGTGAGCCCAGGACTTCCAGGGACAGCCACAGCTGGTGAAGCTGCACCTCCAAAATTCTCTGCATGCTCAAATCACTGCTTCAGGGCAAGGTGAGAGCTTGTTGGGCACCCATGAGCCACCTTGGCTCAGCTCTCCTTGCTTCTCTTAGAAGAACATCTCAGCCCCACTTTGGGAGCAGGTGATGTGCTCAGCTGCTGCCTCAACACCAAGGAAATGGGGACAGGATCAGGAGGATGCAGTTGTGCCTGGAGACCCGTTGGTGCCAGGGAGGTGGAGGCAGGGTTCCTTGAGTGCCCCAACTAGGAACCAGCTCTGCTTTGTCCCTAGGGCCCTTGTAGCACTGCCCCTGGCTGTCCCACTCCCACTAAAACTGGAGATAGGTTCCATCATCCCCCCAGCCCCAGGGCAGCAGTGGCAGATACTCACAACTGCTGCTTGTCCAGGATCAGTGTGAAACCCCACCTGAGGAAAGGAAGAAACAGGCTGTGGGGCAGCATCGCCAAACTGGGACACAGCCCAGGGTCTGTGGGTAGCAGGGTGGAGCACTGAGCTTGCCCCACAGGCCAAGGCATGGTAGGGCTTTGGCTCCCTGCAGCTGGGTTCATGTGCCATGTGCTGGGGGCAGGGACTGATAGATCCATGCCCCAGGGCCACAGCCAGGGGAGGTCCCACTTACTGAGCTGGTGGCTTCAGCTTCTTCTTAATGCCCATGTAAACCTTGGCTGCATCCAGTGGCCACTCACGCTCTGGCTTGGCGCTCTGGGGAAGGAGAGCCATTAGGTCAGCCCAGCTTGGTGCCAGCCTCCCTGCCAGGAGGACAACCACCACCATGCCACTGCTGTTGCCAAGCCCTCCCTGCCTTTCCTTCCATCCTTGGAGCACAGCCCAACCACATCCCCCAGGTACCCACCCTCTTCTCCTTGAGCAGCAGCAGCCTCCGGTCCCGGATGACAAAGTAGCGCTCCTGAAACTTGTTTCCTAGCAGCTTGGGGGGCTCCTCACGGCATTTCAGCAGCCCACACTTGGGAGTCTCACGCTTGGTCCCTGTACAGTGTGGGGAGAGGGGGATCAGTGGGGCTGAGAGCATGTTAGGGTGGCTGAAGGACTGCAGGGAGATTCCACTGTGGGTCTTAGGGATGTGGCCTTGACAGTTGCAGAGCAGTAGCCAGGGCAAGGGGAAGCTCTGGCAGAGCTGTCCCACTCTGGGGACACCTCTAGGAGCTGGGATCCTTTGTGATTGCCTTACCTGTGAAGAGACAGCTGCCCTCACCGATGGGTACCTTCCTCACCAGGAGGTATGCGGCACTGGGCTCTGGGAGCTTGCACCACTGCAAAGCTTGCTCCAGCACCTTCTCCTTGGGGTGTAGGGGCCGCTCTGGGGAGGCAGGAACACTCTCACAGCTGTGTCTCCTCTACTGTGCCAGTCTCTCTATCCCCCTGCCACCAGCAGCAAGACAACCCCCATATCCCACACCTCTTCCTTCCCAACCTGGTTATGCTGACAGCATCCTCCTGTGCTGTCCCCACCATGCTCACCCAGCTCCCCGTTCTCCAGAGCCTCGAAGGTCAGCCAGATGTCCAGGCTGGCTGCCACATTGCGCATCTCCAGGACCTGGTTGGTGAGCTCCTCTGCTGTCATTGTGGGGGACACCTGGGGCCGGACACACAAGAAGCTGCAGTGGCTGGTGGCAGGATGGGTCCCAGGGTTCCATCCCAGGTTCTGGGATGCTGCGCCAAAAGTCTGCATCCCTCTTACCTTCCACCAGCTCAACCCTCCTTTGGGACTCACCTTCAGGGTGACGCAGCAGTCGGGCAGCTTCTGCTCCAGGTAAACCTCGATGATGAGGTCCCC